GTAAGTTTAGATATACATAGACTAATAAAAGTATATGATAAACATGTGGGAAATTTAACCATAAGGTTTTGATGCGGAAAGCCAGAAACATGAATCAACCATATTTGTGGAACAAATTTGATGAGGAATTTGTCAGAGAAATCCACTTGTTGACTTGTGGCCTTTTTCTTTTTTGATGAATACATACGAAAATGAAGATGAAACACCACATGGAAATGAATAAATAACGAATCAGCATAGACTGGCTATTTGACAAAATAGAATCATTTAGTGTTGAATGATTCTAACATTTTAATTATTAAGAGAATTTATGGTTACTTAACCATTCAAGAGACTTTTGATTCGTTAGGAGGTAGTTTAGAGGTGGTATCACGCATATGAAATGTTGACTGATTCAGATGTTAGCTCTGAATGGTTCCATCTAGTGATTATCAAATGATAAGAGCCCCTAAGTCACAATACACACTTTTTTTTAACTTTTAAGTGGTCAAAGTCAAAATTGACATGTTCCCTTATTTGAGTATGTATGCCGCTTAGAATCCAAACATCTCCACCTTGAAGAACATACTAAAACTCCACTCATTCTTCAAATCTAGAAACAAATTCTCAAGTGAAAAATACAAAACTCATGACTACCCACAAAATTGAAAACTTAGGACAAACAACTCACATCTACATGAGTCGGACTTACGCATTTCATGTTGAATCTAACACTTAGGAGTTCTCATATTATCATCGGCCTTTATCAGACACTTCACCATCACAAGCACTTCGTCTACAAACAACAACATATATATCAATAACTAAACACCAACTCTTTATAGATAAATGTAATCACACGACCTCGTACAGACTCTTATACCTATAACTCGGTGAACGCTTCAACCCAACTAAGGACTTATGAAACTTGTCCACATAACACTTCCTTCCACAAACCATAAACCGGTTTGGTAGGTTAAGTATTGAGTAGTACTAAAGTTTCGTTTATCGAGATCATAATGAAGAAACTCCAACCTTACATCCAAGGCTAAACGAAATGTTGGCATTTTGCTACACATATGATGAGCTGAACAAAGAAGTCACACATGACTTCATTTCAAATACCACTCTCATGAATTGTAAGTAGGAATAATCGTGTTACTATGTAATACAAATGATTGAGAAATTTGACCGTTCGAAACAAATTTTTTAACCCTCTAAATTAAATCTATAAATACCAATAAAACTTCTACACCGCAAAACACAATACTTTCACTTTTTTTTCTCTCTATACTACAATCCTAAAAATAGATCAAAATCCAAACACTCCACACACCCCACACACACCCACCGACACATTCACACTCAACACAACACCTCGCTAATATCCGAATTTCAAATCACTACCAGGAGGTTTCATGAATATGTTACTCCAAACAAACTCACCAATTCCACAAATCACCCATTTTCCACAACCATACCAACAAAACTACTTCCAACAACCAAACCTTTTCTAAACACCAAACCAATTCCAACAATCACAAATTCAAAAACTTCATACTCAACCTTCCCAACCGCCTTCGCAACCCCAATCTCCTCATGATGATGTCGAAACGGTGCTGGAAACTCAACCATAATCATCAAGAAGGCAACGAAGGGACAAAAGAAAATAGGGTCAAAACAATTGGGATGAAAATGAGGAAGCGGCACTAACAAAATCTTGGATTGCAATATCAACCGATGAGCTTACGGGAAACGCCCAAACCAGGACGAAATTTTGAAACCGCGTTCCAGCACATTTCTATGTGCAAATGGGAAAAGGTACAATATAACATATTTCATAAAAATATCATTTATTTATTAATTATAAAAGTATCATTTATTTATTAATTATATTATTTTGAAAGTTTTGCATTTTTAAAGGTGAATGTCATACTCATGATGGTGTCAACGGAAAATTGCGCGAATTAAGTAGTTGTACAAGTTTCAATGGAATCTATCTCAACCTCACAAACATGCGTCATAGTGAGTGTAATGATTTCGACATTTTAAGTACCGCTTCTCAAGAATACAAAACCATCAATGGTGGTAAACCATTTGGTCATCAAAAAACTTGGCATGTTATGCTAGCCGATCCAAAATAGGTCCTTGATCCAAGCGTGTTTAGTCACTCGCAAACACAATCCATCAGTTCCAACAAATAAGCAAAAACTTGGGAGTCGGAGGTGGGTTTTGGAATTGACCTCAATGAAGATGATGTTGATAATGACTAGTCGGAAGAGGTCACCCTTTGACGCCAAATAGGAAGGGACATAGAGAAAAAGACGACATCTTCATCGAGAAGGGACAAAGGAAAAAAAATACGTTGAACCGGAACCAACTTTCGTTCAAATACTTTCAAAAAAACTTGATGATCATCTTGACTTTAAAAAAGAAAAAGAAAATAGAGTACAAAACTGCAATCAACGACGAAAATGATAAACACGCTATCTCATCCTCATCTTCCACTCGTTCAACTCAAACTTTTCAACAAGCTTCAACGCAAGAAGACAAGTATAAAGATTTATAAAATTTAGGTTTTAATGTAATTTTTAATTTAAGCGTAACATTATTTTTAATTTTATGTTATTTTTAAATTTTTTATTGTAAATTTTATTTTCACTTTTAGTAATGTACTTTTAATTTGGTTTAATGGAATTTTAAATTTCTCCTAAAAATCATATATTTTTATTAAAATTGAGTATTTAAAAAAAATAAAAATATTTAATGATGTGGTGATGGGTATTTTCTAAGTAGAGTTAAGTATTAGTAAGAATGTAGTAAAAGTGATGGGACACACTTTTTGAGTAAGTATATTGTAGACCACTCCTTGTAGCCTAAAAATTCCAACTCCAAGTCACAACATGAACCGAAGAAAACAACACCCAAAAATGTCTGTCAGTCACACTATAGGGGAGAACACATCCCTATGGTTGTTGCAGTGTGACTTGGAATTTGGTGATCCGAATATATAACTCAACTAAGAATGAAGTGAAGAAAGCTGATTGGTGATTTCGAATGGATAATTGTTTGGAGTAGGCTAAGAGTTGTTAGGTTTGAAGCCGTACACGTTAAACATATATACGACTGGTGTAGGGGGCGGAGCCCTCGCGATATCAATATGTTCAGTTATTCCCTATTTTCTTGTATATAGGTACGACCCAGTTATAGCTAAATGTTTTTGGTTATAAGTATTTGTAGCTAGGTTTCCAATGTATCGTGTCTAAAACAATTAAGTAATAGAAGAGATATCTATTTCCTGCTTGTGATCGTAGGCCATATCAATCGAACCATATTAATTATCCATTTCATTTTTATTACCTTTCTTTGATTGCTTGCACAATAATAGTCAACCTGATTCTTTCAACTAAACTCCCCAGTCATGAATTGTGCCTTGAACCATGTTGCCAACACTTGGTAAACCATTTTTTTGCGGTCGTAGGTCACATCAACCGAACCATATTCATTTCTTATGGACCTCCAAAACATCTTGCCAACACTTGGTAAACCATTACATCATTGAGGTTGTAATTTTTAAATTTGAGAATATTAAAATTTCAATTGTAATTTTAGCTTCCATTGTGCATGATTACAAAACTCTTGTGTAATCATAAATCCCCATCACAAAACTTGAAAAACTCACTCCAGTAATTATGGATGTTTGAATCAAGTTTAGTCCTTATTCTTATCCTCAAATAACAACTCCCATCTCTTTGAGGTTTTCCATTGAACACTCTATGTCCATGATTTTGTGACTCCACCTTAATATGTTGCTTGATCATAGAGGGATTCCAAATTCCGAAACAAATCCAAAACAAAGACAATCCAATGATATGAAAATCGAACCGAACTTGCATTTTTAAATATTAATTCCAAAAATTATTTAGAAAAAACACACATATTCTATTGTGATTTCATAATTGTTGTTGTCCTTGATATTGATCTAGTTACCCACATCTAGTTTCACTCCTCGAGTCAATTGAAGAACATACAACCAATAACCACATTGAGAATTCACTACGATCGATTTTTTTCCCTAAGATCTATAACCTTATGTCAGATCAAAACAAAAGAGAAAAGAAAAAGGCTTGAAATTAATCAAAAAACCTATAACTTTTTTATTACTTTAATCGCGCCAGAAGTACACATCACCTCAAGAACACATGACACATTCTAATGGTTACTCGTATTCATGCTCTGATATCGATCCACACATTCTAATGGTTACTCGTATTCATGCTCTGATATCGATCCAAACATATCTAATTTTGGTATTTTTATCCGTTTCTTTCCTATTTTGCTTCTTTGAACTTTGTTGTTTGCCACACATGAGATGTTTTAATGATGTCATACATGTATGTAGCATTTTGTGAACAATTAATCAATATACCTAAACTAGAATTTTAACAAACACATGGAGAACATATTACATAAAGAAAAAAAAATCTCTATACCCCAAACGTATCTACAAAAGACCTTTGTGGTTTGTCCCCATGGATGCAAAAGTAGGTTTGATTCATAGCACATGTCCAAAACACATGTGAAATCTCATGAAAAAAGAAACAATTATGTGAAGGGGAATGTTAGGCATGTGAAGTTTGTCTATTGATTCATTATTATTAGTGTGGACACAGATAGGATGTTTCATCATCTTCCTCTTGAATTATCCCCACCTACTTTTCTTTCAAATATTGCCGTTATAAACTTTAAACAAAAGTGCTTTCACTCTCTAGTAATTAATCAAGAATTTGGTTGTCTTTATTCGTCGTTTCTTTTTGTCAATAGCCTAAATGGGAAAAGCAAATAGGGGATTACTTAAAAGTTCAAACCCTAGTATACCATGTAAAGATTTTCATAATATAATATATTAAAATACTCGAACTCTTAAAGTAAAAAAAATATGATAGAAATGAGCCCAATAAAAAGAAAGGTTTACGATTTACCTTTGGTAGATTTGTATTTTGCATTGCATCCATTGATAGGCCCACTGATTAGAAGACAGACTGGAGTCGACTGGAGTTATATCTTATTATCTTATAACTTATAAGCCACTAGTTTCATGATTCATCTTTCATCTTTCATCTTTCATCACCACTCTACTCATCATACACTGATTCTTGATTATTTTGTACTGAAGTAAGAAGAAACGTCCAAGAATTAAACACTTCTGCTACTTCTACTGCTGTCACTCTCCCCACCTTTCAATCATACACATAACCAAAACCTCATCCATCTTCTCCACCTCTTTCATCCATGGAAGATTCAAAGCTTGCTCTTCTATTTACTGGTAATGTGGTGTTTAAATTCTTGTGTGTTTTCCCCCAATTTTACGTTTCTATTGATTTTTGGTTCTTGTTTCGTGTAGGGTTTTTATTGCCTGTGTTGGTAGCTTCGGTAGGGATAAACTATGGACAGATCGCTAACAATCTTCCTTCACCGGAGCATGTGGTTCCGTTGGTAAAAGCCATTGGTGCCACTAGGGTGAAGCTCTATGATGCTGATCCTAAGGTGCTGAAAGCTTTTGCAAACACTGGAGTTGAGTTTATTGTGGGGTTAGGTAATGAGTACCTTTCGAAGATGACAGATCCAGCTAATGCTCAAGCTTGGGTGAAGGCTAATGTTCAGTGTTACCTCCCGGCGACTAAAATCACCTCCATTGCTGTCGGAAATGAAGTATTGACATTCAATGATACTTCTCTGTCTGGATGCTTGCTTCCGGCGATGCAGAGTGTACATACTGCTCTTGTGAATCTGAAATTAGACAGTCAGGTTACTGTTACCACTGCACATTCTGTTGCTATTCTTCAATCTTCGTATCCGCCGTCGACGGGAGCTTTCCGGCAAGATCTGAAAGGATGTATCGCTCCGATCTTAGATTTCCTCTCGAAAACGTGCTCTCCATTCCTCATCAATGCTTATCCGTTCTTCGCGTACAAAGCTGATCCGAAGCAAGTTTCGCTTGATTTCGTTCTGTTTCAACCTAATGCTGGAATCGTTGATCCAGGTACCAAATTGCATTACGATAACATGTTGTTCGCACAGATCGATGCGGTCTACGCCGCTCTATCATCGCTAGGTTACAAGAAGCTCCCGGTTCAGATCTCGGAGACTGGATGGCCGTCGAAAGGAGACGAAGATGAAATTGGAGCGTCACCGGAAAACGCGAAAAAGTACAACGGAAACCTCTTGAAGCTAATCAATCAGAAGAAAGGAACTCCGGCGAGACCTAATTCCGATTTAAACATCTTCGTGTTTGCTATGTTCAACGAGAACATGAAACCTGGACCGACATCGGAAAGGAACTACGGTTTATTTAAACCCGACGGAACTCCGTCGTATGGTTTAGGATTCTCCGGAATCGCGGTTTCCAGTGGCAATTCTACAAGCACAGGTAGTGGTAGTAGTAGTAGCAGCAGCTCAGGAACGAATGGACCTTCGATATATTTATCGCCGCCGGCGAACTCATCGAGTGGATACCTGGCTATTTCGTCGTCGACGGTGAGTTCACCTTTTTCCCACTTTTTCAGGGTAATGATTTTGCTAACGTGCGCATATTACCGTTTATGTTAATACACGTAGACAGTTCACTGTTCACGAAGTGCACCCTTCAATGACGGACGTTGCACTTGGAAGTTTGAACCATGTCTCATCTTGTCAAACTACGTCGTTTTATGTCCTTAATTAATTAGATAAAACCATAGATTTTTTTTACAATTTCATTTAATTTATAAATACAAATATTGTGATTATACTTGTTTATTCCGAACATTATCCAACCAAAAATGTCATATAAGGCTATATATGTATCCTGTTCAAGGATCACTCTTTTTATATTGAAAATGGCATGAATGTATCTATCACAGGTATCAAATAAAGTAAATGAATATCTTATGATAAAGGTTAAAATTAATAAAGTTTATGACTTTAACAACAACATTTTCTTTTACAGGAAAGATTTATTTGGAGCACGTGGGCAATGTTGGGCATGGGGTTCATTTCAATGGCAGTGTATTGAGAGAAGGAGATAACGTAACGTAATCGTAATGTATGTGGTGGTGTTGTTTTGTAGTTTGGAAATTCTTTAATTAAATCTTATTCTTATTAATTATGGCGTCATCGTATATTTTAGAGGTGTTTTTTTGTTGTTGTTGCTGCATGCTGATTCTTGGACACGACAGATCTCGATTACTTTTGTATTGGGAGTCTCAAAAGACACCAAACTTTCACCGAAAGATAAAAATGATGCAAACCTTACTATTTTTAAAAAATAAATTTAAGACGTTCAAACTATTAAGCTTCCATTAAGTTTATAGTACAGATAACGAAGTCAATCATATCTCATTCTTTAATTCCCGTCTTATTCACAAATTCAAAAACTTACAAAAATAGAAATTGTTTTCCCACGTGGTATTATCTCTAGCTAAACCAACAATTCACAATTCCCTCTTTATCTCATTTTTGCTGCGCTGCTCCTACTTTTCTCATCTTCTCTATCCTTTCTTTCTTTCCTTCTTGAGACTACGACAACTAGAAAGGTTAAGAACAACAGGTTCTGTTTTTTATTATTCGATTTCTTGTGTTCCAACAACATAAACATATATTATGGTCTGGTATGTCAAGAAGAACAAGTTGTTGTTTTCTGATTTTGTGTTTTTCCAACAACAAACAAAAGATTTTGATTTTTTTTGCAGATCTTGATTTTCTACATTCCAACAACATGAATGGATCTGGGATAGATATGTCAAGAAGAACATGTTCATATTTTTTATTTTAGGTTTTTTTCTACAAGAAACTAAACAATTCTGATTTTTTTGCAGATCTTGATTTTTCTTTTACAGGTTTTTTGGTTGTTCTTTATGGAGCTGGAAGGTCTAAAGTTTTATGTTAATCTTCAGGTTTTAAACTTTTCATTTTAATTAACTCTATTGACATCGAAAGTTTATTTGTTAGATATCTATTTTTTTTTTTTGTTTTTTTAGAAATCGCCATCATCTTCGTTTTCTCATATGGACTCCACCTCTTTTTATAGTTTCAATTTTACTATTTTGGTTCATGAATTGATCTTGCAGTTTTAACCGATAAAGTTGGAGTAGCTACCGTCAATAAAATAAAGTCATATGCCAAAACATAGTGGTCAAAACTCAGGTATAAATTAGTTTCAAATTTGATTATACCTGATATATATTTGTGTTATAGCTTAATTGAAAAACATGGTTTCTTTCTCAAATACTCACAGGGTTTGTAATTTTGTCTCACTATTATTTCATTTTTTTTATTTATTCCAGTGATTTGCATTTTTGTTTGACCACTACTTGGGATGTGCTGGGATGTGTTGAAGCATATGAGTAAAAATGTAGAAGCAACTAGAAAGGAAGAATTTATAAAGAGGAAAGAAGCTGTAAAACGTAGCAATGAGATTTATAAAAAGAATGAAGAACATATCCAGTTGAATGGTGTGGAAGTGTTGGGATTAGGAAAGTATGTTGAAGAGATGAAGTCAAAAGTGAAGGAACTCGATTCAATTTTTAGTATATTGAAAACACATGCTCTCTGTTTAACATATTTCTATATTTCTATGTCAAGGTACCCTTTATGGCATTGCACAATGCTATAAGTGAATATACTTAGTCTTTTCTCTTTTACTCCAACAAGTTCCTTTTGTTGTGTATGTATGTGTTTGAAAGTCAAATGGCTCAGGTTCTCAAAGACCAAATGTGATTGGGAAACATTCGTTTCAACCGATGGATTGTAGGGACATTGTTACTCTTAAACAAGGGGGAAACCTTTCTTTTTAGTTGATTATTCATAATTGATTGCAACAATTTTTAGAGAGGCAATGGTGACGACATGCTATTAAAAAAAAATCTAATGTCAAGGTATCTTATTGAGATTTTTTCATCTTTTTGAAATTTGGAAAATTCTAACCATTTTCCCTTTTTTTAACATTGAAATTTATACTTTTAGGTGCCGATATACATGAAACCTTTTATCCAAATGACTACACCTTCAAGCTTGAGTTACAAGTAACCGGTAAAAGTTTTGTTTTTTTCGAAAAATAATTTTTTTAGATCTAAAAATAAAAAATAGTCAAAATATAAGGTATTTTATGGAAAAAAAACCCAAAAACGATATACTTTTTTTAGACGATGTTTTAACCGAAAAAATGAAATAGTTTTTTTGATAAAAAGACATTTTAATTGAAAAAGAGAAACATTTTAATTTTGTCATTCCATTAGATACTTAAACTGAAAATTGAAAAGAACCACCAAAATAAAATAAAATATATAAATATATGTTTTTCGGTTATAGTTCACAATAGAAATCATGAGTAGTAACCAAACCAGCAAAACCAAATATTTTACATGTTTGGTTAAACAAAACGAAAAAATTCAACATAATCGAAACGAAACTATGTGCAGAAAGTTAATTATCTGTCGTTATTGCATTGTACGGATTACATGAGAATATAAATAACTAATCATAAAAAAGAAAACATTCACAATGAATTATTTTAAGTTTGACAATTTGGAGGTTCAATATATATTGCTTTGAAAGTGTTGGAGTTCCGATTTTCGGAGAGAATTAAAAAACCAATGGTAAATGATATTTTCCAATATATTGTGTATTCTTTGGAACATAACATGTTTTCGAAAGTAAAAACTTATCGGCAAAAAATAATGTATAACCAGTCATGTGTTATTACATATTTTCATATTTTGTGTATTTTTTATATAATTCTATTATTTTTGTTTGAATCGCTAGCATATTTCATATTTTGTGCCGCCTTAAACCGTTTCTTTTTATCGGTTATTTGATGTATCATGTCACAAATAACACCAAAGTTGGATTCTATTGTTTTAGAAATATACTATCTTTCGAACATAACACTTTTGTAAAAGAAACATATCGTCTAAAGAAATTATTCGCCACCGCAGCTTTGCGCGGGTCCACCACTAGTATATATATATATATATATATATATATATATATATATATATATATATATATATATATATATATATATATATATATATATATATATATATATGGTTAGGTTCATATGAGACAATAGTATTTTGTGAGACAAAGAGACCAAATCTTGACCATTCATCTTGAATAATCAAAGGATTAAATTAAATCAAATTAAACCACAATGAACCACAAGTAGGCGGTGACATTTTTGTAATTAAATGGAACTCTAGGATTAGAATAAGGCACGGAGGGGCAGAAATGGAATTTTACATTCTATTTCATTCGGGTCATAAAAAAACATGCGATGTTCTTCTAAATCTTCTTCATTCTGATTCATAAAACCCTAACCTCGATACGAACACTAAAACCCATTTGATTCAATCTCGTTTGATTCAATCTCGATCATCAACATCTTATGTTTCCTTCAGATTCGAATTTGAATGCTCTGATTTTATCATCCTTTCATTCTGATTTTGATTCTAAAATCGCTCGAGCACAAATTGTTCCTGGATCAAAAGAAATCCAAATTTATTATTCGAACAAATGGATGCAGAATCGGATTCAGCTTAAGTCATTTCAGGTAATGTATAATAGTATAATTTATCTGCATCATGATTCAAACATTTCTTCATTTTTCTCAAGCACAAAACCCTCCGCCTCGATGAACACTAAAAATCATTTTTTTTTCTTGATCTACAATCTCGATTGAAGAACTGGTAAATCAAGATTAAGTTTTTCTTTCAACCATCAAATTCCTATCATGCTTAAACATTGTGATTACCCTTATTCTGATTACATGAGAGATTTGCGATTGAAGAACCCTAAAAATCCTCTTATTCACTTTGATTCATATTTTCTACTTTGTGATTCTGATTATGTTCCCTAATCAAGCTTTCAATCACCTAGCATTACAGAATCAAAGAAATTGGATCAAGATCTCAAGAATGACTGGTTCAACATAATCAGATTCAGGTTCTAATTCTCATATAATATCTCTTTTTTTACTTCACTTCATATCTACTCCAAATAACTAGAATTTTCTTTTTTCTGTGTCAATGAAGTCAAAGGAAATGTGAATAAACCATGTTATATCTTTTTGTATATAACTTTCTTTAAATTTTGAAATTTGAATGTCTAGTATTCTAATGATTCTTTGAATTTGTAATGAGAATGCATAATATTCTACATATTTTAGTATCATATTCTACATATATGCACCAGTTAAACACCTTGTAATCCTACATTAACCTTGCAGTTCCATGAAGTACAATATGCTAGATATTTTAAAATATGAATGTGTGATATTTTTATTATTCTATAAATTGTAATGTGGAATGTATAGTATTCTACATATGTTAATATAATATATTATATATTCTGCATATTTTTTGTGGAATGTGAAATATTTTGCATATGTTAGTATAATAGTCCTTTGCTAAACAGGTTGCAAACTGATGATTAATTTCTAAAATATTCAATGAATTGAATGTTTGATAACATATTCTACATATTTGCACCAGTTACATTCTTGGATTTCTATATAAACCTTGAACTTCCACACAGTACAGAATTCTATATATTTTAAAGTATGAACTGTTATTACGTGATAGTCTGATAAGTCATAATGTACTTCTTAATTTAATATAGATGTTACTTTGTTTGATTATTTCGAGGATCGAGTAAAAATATTAGTAAAATAGTGTTTGGTAACTTAATATTCTAGGTATTCTGATTTGTTAAGTTAGGTGTTACTTCATAAATTTGGTTTCAAATGTTAGTTTATTGATCAATCGGATGTTACTGTTTACTTTGATAAATCAGAACTAATTCATACACCAATGACTTTATTGTGTAAAGTTAAACTCTATTTGTAGAGCAATTTAACATTCTATATTTTCTTTTATCATAACCTGATGTATTATTCAAAGAATAGTTCTTTATACTTTATTAGGAGAATGTATAATATTAATTATTAATAAAATGAAGTATATGGTTAATAATGTTAATACTATAATATACTAGAGTTTATTTTATCATAACTTTATGTATAATTCAAAGAAAGGTTCATTATATTTTATTTGGAGAGTCTATGATGTTGATTATTATTAGAATGTAGTTTTACGCTTTATAATAGGAATATTCTAGTTTTTTGCAAGTATTTAATAAACAAATTCATGTATTATTCTGGTTTATGGTATTTAGTGTGAATATTCTAGTAGTATGGTATTTAGTGTGAATATTCTAGTAGTTTGTTCTAATAGAAGCATGGTGTATGTTTTGATGCATATCAAGTGACAAGAATGACTCAATCAAGAGCAAAATATGTTTTTAATTTGATACTAAAATTAAGAAAACAATGATAGTTCAAGTGATAGATCTTTATCAGAACGTGAAATAAAGGACAATGTATAACATTAAACACATTAATGAATATGAATATTTGACATAAATACTCTAAGTTAACATATTATTAAGTGTTATATTCTTCTTTTCACGATGTTGATTATTCTTAGAATGTACATATTTTTATATTTGATTTTATATTAAGTTATGGAAATAATGCATTTGTTTTAGTTTTTTTGTTTTAATAAAGTTATGATATATGTTTTAATGCAGATAAAATAAGAAGAAAAAAATATTGAAGAACCTATGGTATAAGATGAAGAGGGAAAAGATTAATAGAAAAGAAAGCATAAGAAGGTATCCAAAAATAGAATTGATGGAAGTTTGGAAATGTGTGGCGGTGAATGATATTCTTAGAATGTTACAAAACATTTGATTTTTGTTATTACTTAACTGTAGTTTGTATATTTTGGGTATTTTGTTCTGATAAATATTTGTTTACATTGATTTTACTTTTCATGATGCAGCCAAATTGGATGGTAACCTACATATAAACTAATTGACGAAGCTAAGGAGTTTGCAAAATCTGACCGACTAAAGCATCTTAACCTGGTGTATGAAGAGAGGCAGTGAAATGAAGATTGTTGATCAAATTGATAAAATATTTGCAAGAATTTAATGGTTAATGAATTTGGAGTCTTTTTATCTTTGAATATTGGTTATATTTTCTATATTTTGAATAACATGTATGGTTGAATGTTTGGTAAATAGTAGTGTTATGGTTTGAATGTTTAAAGATTGGTGAATATTTCATAAAACAATATTGTGGTTGAACAATAGTTATATTTTAAATGATAATACATGTAATTTTGTAGTTTATGTTGTGTAATGGTAATAATATCTTTCGCATATTAGACGAGTTTAAAATTAAAGTCTCTATGTAAAAAATTTCATCAGAATAATATTGTATGTTTTATGTTATAATAAGTATATGTATAATATTCTAATAGAATAATTTTATATGTTGTTTGTTATCGTGAATTGATGTTTATGTCTTTTTTAGAATTTAAGTCACTATTCAAGGTACATTTTATAAGTAGAGTGTATGATGGTTAAAATCATTATAATGTTGTAGTTTATGATGTATGATGTTTATAATCTAATAAAATAAAGTTATAGGTTTTTATAATCTATATGTAGAATATTTTAATAGAATAATATTTTGTGACATTCTAAGTTATATGCATCATATTCTAATACAACAATGCTTAA